ATACATTTTAACGTTTTTAGAAGGTCTCTTTCTATAAGTCTATAATATATAACTAAACTATTGTTGTATGTAAAGTAAATAAGGTTTTTAAAATGTTTAAGAAACTTCATTTAAAATTAAATTAAAATGCAGAGCCCCCTGGACCGGAGGCCAGGATCCGGGCAGTGTGAGTGCCACTGAAAGCACGCGTGTCATAGGTTGCCAATGCCTACCCCTGGTCTATGGCCTTGTCCATACTAGAAAGTTGTACTGTTGTTAACTTTCCCAGCATAGTTAAAGTGGTACAACTCCACCCTTCCCCGTCCCGGGTGGATGCAGTTATACTGATATAAATGGTCTTATACTAGTAGAGCTCATTCCCCTGACTTCCACAGGAATAGCTGTACAGTTTTCTAGTGAGGACAAGGCCTTAGGCTCAGCTCCACATAGGAGTTGATTTAACTATTGAAATACACCTCTACCCCGATATAACACTGTCCTCAGGAGCCAAAAATTCTTACCGCATTATAGGTGAAAACGCATTATATTGAACTTGCTTTGATCCACTGGAGCGTGCAGCCCCGCCCCCCCGTAGCGCTGCTTTACCGCGATATATCCGAATTTGTGTTATATCGGGTCGCGTTATATCGGGGTAGAGGTGTATATATCACACCCCTAGCTGAAGTAGTTATACCAGTACAACTGTGTGCAGAGCAGGCCTCACCGGAGTCTGGGAAGGGGAGCATGGCAGCAGGAAGGAGGGCAGAATGTCAGAAACATGGGAGTGAGGGGAATTCCGGGACGGCTGGGGTACCACCACTTCTTTGACGACACCATGGTAAGTAGATCTAAGTACGTCGACTTCAGCTACACTATTTATGTAGCTGCCGTTGCGCATCTTAGATTGACCCCGCGCGGTAGCATAGACAAGCCCTAAGTGACAAAGCTATGCCAGCCTAACCCACAGGTTCGACAAAGCTAGGTCGAGGGAAGATTGCTTCCATTCGGAGGTGGTGGTCCTACACCGATGGAAAAATCCCTTCCCTTGGTGTAGGCTGTGTCTACACTACGGGATTATGCAGACATAACTATACCAGTATAGTTTCCATAGTGTAGACACAGCCTTAGTGAGAAAATCTCAGTTACTTCAGGAAGTTCCAACACATGCACAAGCAGGCATGCATGTACACACTGGAAAGAGTTTTCACTACTTATAGGCAGAACTGAAAGGGGAGGCCAAATTATGGATCTCATGGTGACATGTACTCGCCTCTGGCCCTTTCCATCAAAAGCATTAGCCCCTTCCAGACAAGGACTATTATATGAATGAATCCAGTGGTCCTGGCACAAGTCTTGGCTGCAGTAACATGCACCATACACATGATCAGTCCAGCTATTCAATAAGTGGGAGATGGGGGACTCTTACAGCTCCTCTAATGTCTGATGTCAACTGGCAGATGCAGCCAGTGTTGGACCAGGCACTGGGGCAGCTTCAAGATGGGGAGGAAAATGTAATCTCTGCAGAGAAGGACTTCCAGCTGAAACAGGCTCAACACAATCTCTTCTGGCCAAGGAGGAGGCTCCCTTTTGGCTCACCTAAGAGAGCAGCTGCCTACAGCCCACGAGGATCCCAAGGCATGGCCAGGATTCTGCGCAGAACACAAACAGCAAGTCCAATGAGCGCTTGGGGGACTCCACAAACTGTGCCAACTAGACATGCCAACCCAGCCAAACTGACCCATTATAAATATCCTGTGTAACAGAGAACCAAATGGCTGCAGGTTGTGCATCCACTATCGCAAGGGACTGATGCAAATGATCTAGAAATATCCCTTTATATTAGCCATTTTCCTAAATCACTGGTAAACTTTTCATGTCCAAATTGCATGACACGCTGGGACTCAGAAAATGGCTTTAGAATTCTGCACATAACTGGAGCACTCTGATCATCTCTCAGGAGTGTCACACACATAGCGACACTACTCTGATGGTTTCATTAAATGTTCTGTATTCATTTTCCTGTGTTCCACAGCTGCAATGAGACATTCAGTTCAGTGCCCTGATTACACTTCACAGGTGATCAAAGCCCCCCTCTACCTTTGGGCTCAGAACCATTCCCTGTGACATGCTGTCATTGTCTAGAAAAAAATGCTGCCTGACGTGACTTAGAAGTGTTGCTTAATTAATTAAGCTCCCCATTTCTGAGTAAGGGCAAGTCTACACCATGAAATTAAGTTGACCTAAGTTACATTGATGTACAGCCACCACAGTAATTAAATGGTTTTTGCATGTCCACACTACGCTCCTTGTGCTGACGGCGCATGTCCTCACCAGGAGCGCTTGCACCCATTTAACTGCCAGTGTGGGGCATTGTGGGATGGTTTCGGAAAGGCAACAACAGTCAATGTAAGCATCGCAGTGTCTACACTGACAGAAGTCGATGTAGTTAGGTCAACGCAAAGTGCTACGCCTCTCGCAGAGGTGGAGTTATTAAGTTGGTGTAGGGGATGTTACATCAGTGGGAGCTACATTTTAGTGTAGACGCTTACGGATTTAGGTCAATGTAAGCTGTCTTACATCGACCTAACTTTGTAGTGTAGACCAGGGCTAAGACAGCAACTTTCTTATTAAGAGCCTTAACTGAAAATCAAGCACTGAGGCTGCACTTGGGGGTAATTAAAATATAAAGCACTGAAGATTTTTCTTCTTAGCATGCCACACAAAGAAAGAGGAGGCAGTCCTGGTCATGCATTATTCAGTCATGGAACTGCTATGTACTGCAAGGCAGATTCCCATGGAACCTATTCTTACGTCCACACTGTACTCTACAAAACTAAAGCCACTTTAGACATGCCACAAGCAAGCTTGTTTTGCGGCTGCAGCTTCTAAATACGGTGTCATAAACAAACCCCACATGAAGCATGGCAGCAAGCTGGATCACAGGTAGATATGCTCTCAAATAATGGCTACATGATCTACAACAACAATGCAATCAACAATAAGGGGATAGATTCAGCTTATGAATGCAGTAGGGGCTGCAATAGGCCCTGAGGTTAGAAAGCTTCAACATAAAGGGGTCATGATTTCCTCTTGGCCAGGGGTTTAGTAGAGCCCTGAGCCATGTTGGTTGGAGAGGGGTTCTCTCAGAGAAATGGACCCACATTTTAGGACCTCAGCAGGGACCAGGAGTACAAATGCATGAGGGAAGGGGGAAAAATTAGAGGGAAACTTCCCCCCATCCACCATCATGGTTCTGCCCATGTACACTTGCAGTAACTTAACACAGCCCACTTCTCGAGAGGAAAACCTGAAGGAGAGTAGTTCCCACAATTCCCATCTGGCATAACAGCCCCTTGGGGTTGGTCGCTTACAGCAGCCCTGAGGCCACTCCAGTTTCTGCCAGGGGCCTGAACTGGCCATTGGCAACCACAGGGAAGCATGAAGGTGGTTCTGATGCAATTGATGATCTAGCCCTAGGTGTTCAACTCAGGTGAGTGAGAAAAATCAGATGTGCTAGCAAATGCACAAGAGCCTTCTTAGTTACTATCTGCTTTTATGGCGGATTCTGTCCCTTGCTCATACGGAACGTTTTCCCTGGCAGAGATTGCTCGTCTTGGCAGATTTAAATTTTTTTTGTCCAAGTGCAGCGTTGCTGGGAACATCTGTTTCCAGAGAAAATGCTTCTTTAGTCAGGGCCAGCTCCAGGCACCAGCAAAGGAAGCAGGTGCTTGGGGCGGCCAATAGAAAGGGGCGGCACGTCCCGGTCTTCGGCGGCAAATCGGCGGTGGGTCCCTCAGTCCCTCTCTCTTTGAATTACTGCAGAAGAATGAAGCGCCCCGATCGGCTTTATCTTTCGCTTTGCTGCTTGGGGCGGCAAAGAAGCTGGAGCTGGCCCTGCTTTAGTGCAGAGCAAAAGTGAAGCTTTTATTCCTTGCTTTCTCTCCTCTCACACCTGTCACCTCCCTGGGGCAGGGGGAGGTGGGGATTTCTCTTTTTCCCAAAAAAAACGAGGAGTCCGGTGGCACCTTAAAGACTAACAGATTTATTAGGGCATAAGCTTTCGTGGGTTAAAAAAACCACTTCTTTTTTACCCACGAAAGCTTATGCCCTAATAAATCGATTAGTCTTTAAGGTGCCACCGGACTCCTTGTTGTTTTTGTGGATACAGACTAACACAGCTACCCCTCTGATACTTAGTACTCTTTTTCCCAGCACTTCAGTTTCACCATTTATTTCCCCCTGAGTTCAAATGAGCAGCAGGTGCTCATCTGACTCCCATCATCAGTCTGAAAGATGATCCCTCTTTCCTTGCACCCTGGCGATTGCTACGCATTTCCCTCAGCCGATTTGCAGAGGTGCTAGCACCCCTAGACAGATTCTCCGTGTCCATCCTCTCCTGCCTGAACACTGAAGGCCAGGTTTTCGGAAGAGTTTAGCACATGCAGAGCCCTGGAAAAGTCTGGCCACCTATTCAAACGCTTAAGTAGGAGCTGTGCTCTTCCAAACCTCCAGCCCTGTGTTTTGCCTGAGCTAATTACAAGGAGATCTGTCTAGATTTTCATCTGTATGACCCATTCTGAATTGGCTGCGTCAATATTAGATGTTTTCTTTTCTTGCTGAACGAGGTAGGAACTTGTTTTTCTAGTACAGGATGCCAATCCCTCATTGTACTGGAAGTTCTGCCGACAGCGTGTGCACGGGCTCAGAGAGGGACCCTGAGAAGCTGCTTTCCAGCAGCCTGTGTGCAGGTAGGATTCTTGTTTTAAGTGAGACACCAATAAGGTTAAGGGAGGGGGAAATTTAGGAACAGAAACGCTTCTTTTTGGGACTCAAGTAACATCTGCAGCTTGTGGGTGCCTGTGCCACTATAAACGTGCTGTTTCTTGCAGGCTGCCCATCCCCTCCTGGTGCTACCTGCCCCAAGGTTGCACTCTTCTGGATGTAACCTTATTTTAGGATGGGTAGAGGAATGGGAAGAAGAGAAAGAGGCTGAGATTAGTGTTTTTCTTTCCGCTGACAGCATGTGCGTGTGGGATTTTTTTGGTGTTGTACAATTTGTTGTTATTCAAGAGATCACCTGCCAATGTACATCAGCAAAAGAGAGGCAGTGTGATCTAGTGGTGAAGGACTGGGTCGAGACTCATGAGACCTGGGTTCTAGTCATGGCTCTGTCACCCAGCTGCTGTGTAACCTTGAGTAAGTCACCTCACTTTCCTCACCTATGCTTTTTCCTGCCTGTTTAGATAGTTAAGCTCTTTGGGGCAAGGATCCTCTCTCATTATGTGTTTGTACAGTGCCTAGCACGGGCGGGGGCAGGGCATAATCACAACTGAGACCTCTAATATGTAAAGAACAGGAGCAACAATGACAAAGGGACACAATTTGATTTTTTTTAAATGGATCTGGTTTCCTGAGTGGGCCTGCAATTGAAGGCAGATTCTTGAACATGATTCCCCAAGATAAACTACAGCCAGTTAAGAGATTTTTTTTTTTTTTTTTTAGACACAAGGTCCATATTAAGAGCTAAGCTGTGTCTGACATCAAGTTAGTTGACAGGTTTTCTAAAACAATGCACTCCTCCTTCCCCCGGGCACCCACCTGCAATGTAGACAAGTCTTCAGTGGCCACAGTGTGCAGCGCACCACTACCCCGATCCCTGCTGGGCTCTGTGGAAACAGGCTCTGGACGGGGAGACGCCCAGTTTAATCTGAGTAAGGCTTGCTTGCAAGTGATTTTCAGACAGAATGTTGTGCCTCTACTGAACGATCATTGACACCAATGGGGCTGCAGGGGGCACTGGAGGCAGAATTTGGTCTGTAGTTTGTACCTGCTGCACTAGGTGGCTGGCTGTGTACCATGACCTGGCAGGGAAAGCCACCCCCACCCAGTTAGCATTTCATTCCTTAGGATTTTTTCTCCTCTGAATGAATCACCCAAATACACCAGTAATCTTAGAGCCTTTGTCCCTGGAGCAGGCTCTGAAACTATAGAGGAGACTTGGGATCTGATCCAAAGCTCACTGAAGTCAATAGAGTTTGGTGTTTCAAATGCCCGTCAGATAAATGTCTTTCCACTAAGTCAGTCTTTTCAGTCATTTGAAATCAGAGCTGAGTACTAGCAGCAGCAGTGCCAACTCTGACTGGCACAGGGTAACTTAGGAAGGTGCTAGCCCATCTCCCTCTCCTCTGTCTTCTCCTCTGATCTCCAGTGCCCTCACTGCTCACCCTGAGTGGTGTGTGAATGCGTTCTGGGCTAGGATTTGTAAGAGAGCAGGCATAGATAATTTCTCCTGTCAGAGTATTTTCAACCGAGAATAGCATGGTTCAGCTGGGAGGATAACATTAGGGCATCCCCAGCTCATGGCATTCCATAAGAAGTCACCTGAGCGCCAATGTTGGATTCAAGTGGCAAAGTCTTAGCCAGAAGATTTGTTTCTCTCCTCTTGTAGGTTTCAACAAGTCTTTAATTTCAGCTGCCTTCCCCTTTTCTAAAGTCATTCAGGTACCATAAGCCCTGATATTTCAGGCTCCCTGTTAGCCGGTGAGCTTCATGCACATGCAGGAGTCACACCTCCTTTACAAGACTGCTTTGCACCTACACCAATTCCAATTTGCAGAACTACACCACTTTCATGAGAGTCACTATGGCCACTTGTGAGTTAGGCAGAAGGTTGGTTAGGTTCCTTGACTGAACAGAAGTTTGAGGTTGGGCTGATGAGCTGACGAAGAGAGGTCGGTGGGCAGGTGGGGTTATACCTAAATCCCCAAACCAATGAGAAGGTTCATGGAATGTCACTGCTGGCTGACTGGAGCCCTGTCTATACCATGTATCAATAGTGGAGTTGAAATGGTGGTAGCAGTGGTGGGAAACCATAGGAAAAAGACCCTAGTGCAGACAACAGCTCATTTCTAGATGTAGGAATTACGTGTATTGAGGAGGCTTTTGTATTGAAAGAGGAGAAAACATTTGGCTGAAGTTTCTTTTGGGCTTTGTTTATACTGTGGAACTAGGCAGCAGGTTCCTGGATCAGCTGTTATCCAAAGCTGGGAACTGTTTTTTGGCTGCTGCTGGAGGTTGATATGCTGATAAAGATGGAGTAAATTGTACTCTTCCTTTCAAGGGCTAGTGATTTAACCCCATCTTAAGTAGCCAAAACCAGAAACCAACTATAACCCCTTGCCAACCATGGCGCTACTCTGGAAAGTGTGGGGATATAAACCAGCTCCTTGTCTCCTGCTTGTCACAATTCCCTTGTACTGGACCCTGTCCTCCCCCAGGAAAGCTGATCTAGCACCTCAATGGAAGGCCTGTGGACAGCTCCACTGGAAGCACTGATTCCTTCTTCCTCTCTTACAGGTCAGGGAGATGACACAAGAGAACTCCATTCTGCTTCACTTGCAGAGTTTACAGCTGCCCTTTCCCGACACCTGGAAGTATGGGATTTTGGCATTAGCCATCCTCCTGGTTTTGGTGGCTCTAACCATTTTAACCTGCCAAATGCGCCAGTGCCAGAAACTGAGAAAATTTGGGAGAAGTAAGTACCAGGCGACAGTACACACCAGCCACAAAAGGTCTCTGTGTCTGTGATACTTCACCCTTAACAAAGGACCTTCACATGGGAGCAAACTAAGGACCGAGCACAAATGTGCCAAGACAGACGTTTTTATCCTTCAGACTGCAAGCTCTTCAGGGCAGGGACTATCTTTGGCTACGAATTTGCACTATGGAAGCCTTTGGGTGCTCCCACAATGTGCACATACAAGGGCTTCCTGCCTCCCAGCCCTTTTCCTCTTCTTGATTCCATAGTGAGGCTGTAGTGCAGAATTCACAAAATGTATTCCTTGCCAAAGGAAGACAGGAGAAGGGCTATATTCCAGTTTACCTGGAGCTCTTTAAATCAAGACATAGACATGTCAAAGGAAGGAACAAAGTAGGAGTTTTATCAATCACATCTGCACTTACTGAGCTCCCAAAGTCTTATCTCAGGATCAGTTTAGTGCCAGGGATGGATTCAACAGTGGCACAAAGACAGCTGCACAAAGCAACAGGGAATCAGCTCCCTGCTCGGCTCTACCCTCCCTGCAGGCTGCAAATAAGCACAAGGGCTGGGATTAATGCCCTTCTGGAGGACTCTCCTTCCTTTATGGGCATGAAGATAAGCAAATCCGTGAGCCCTGCTGTCCTTTTTTGATGTGTATTTAAAATGTAATTGACGCCACATGATGGGGACCAGGGCATTTCTGTACCGGAGCCAAATTTGGGATTTTAATCTCTGCCAAGAGCATTTGCCATTTAGAAGGTGGGGAGTGGATAAGAAATGCCACTTAATATGTTTCCTAGGGCAGTTTGAACAACTTCCTGCTTTAGAACAACTCCGTATGGGGAGACAGGGCAGGGTTAAATGGGAGTGAGGGGCAGTGCTGCCCCCCTCCTCTACTACAAGGGAGAGCTCTCTGTACTCCCCTTGGCTTGGGGGAGCACCTGCCCCATAACTCCTCCTGCCCTGGTGCAGAGAGAGAGAGCTCCCCCCTACTCCCATTTCAATCTACTTTAACCCCGGGACAAGGTTACATGCTAGAACTGGGTTTTCCATAAGACTCCCAAAGTGCAGCAGCTTATTCTGAGTGTCCCTGTGCGATCCTGATCCTGTTATCCCCAGGCAGCACAAAAGTAATCACCCTCTTGCAGCAGCAAAGCTCTATGTTTATTAACTTGCCTAATCCCCCTCCGAGATGGGCGGAGGAACCTGATTCCTCCTGTTAATACAAAGTAACCTCTATGTGTGAGACAAGAAAGGAGGGGAACTCAACTTCTCCTTATTGAACACGTGTTGCTTACTGGTTCTTCCTCTTACAATGGCCCATTGCACCCAGAAACTCCAGAGCACACAGGATGTACCATCACTCCAGCCAGCAGCTACTTAGATTTCACCAGCCCAGAGACATTAGCAAAACTTCCTCCCACATCCCATCTGTCACAGCTTGAATCAGCCCATCTGTCATCTCACCCCCAAAGGGACACTGGTTTTAGGGCCACTTCCTCATTGCCAAGCCTGACACTTCTAGCTTCCTATTCACCCCAGTCTCATCAATCCTAGTGTGCTTGGATCATTTTTTTCAAGCAAAGAAACAATATTCTCTCTTTCACATATGCCCTTTCTTCCCCCTTCCTTCCCTACCCCTGACAAGTTCAGACACTGACCTGAAATGTTAAGATAATCACGGAGTTTGATTTCCCCTGTATGGGATTATCAAATCTTGAGCTTTATGTGAATATATCTTCCTAGAATTCTCTGATTTTCACTTTTGTCCTAAATGAGTAGCAAGCCACCCCATGAAGTTTGGGATACAGGATGTTCTGTACCAGCTGAGACCTCTGGCCAATACCTCGACTATGGCAGTGATCCATATTGGATCCATCAGAGGAAAGGAATCTCCCCAGTAATGGGCCTTGCTAACTGCAGTGTTGTACCTGGAGGGGAAGAGAAGATGATGGTGAACTCCTGTCCCATTCCTGCAACAACTCTCAAAATCCTGGCCAGGCTCTTAAAGCAACTAGTGATTTTGGGTGGCTTGATTTTTAGGTGTCCAGTTTGAAGGATCTGATTTTCAGAGGGCAGGTCCTTGGCACTTCTGAAACTCCAGCTCTTTGAAAGGCATCTCAGATTGGGCATCCAAAAATCACCTTTGAAAACCTTGGCCCCTGGCTTTATATTTACAGATGCCATCTCCAGGCTGCTGCACTAATCTTTGCTGTCGTTCCCACAGAGAAGAAATACCTTAGTGAAGCCTGTAAGGACACAAAGGCGGAGAATGGCATCCTGGGGGATAAACTGCGACCAGCTCTCCTTGACATTGCTAAGCAGAGCCTCCTTGATGTCAAGGCAAGTGTGCTAACCCCAGGGCACCTGCAGAAGGTCAAAGGTGTTTTTTTGATTACAAAACAAAAGGGTCAGAATTGAGAAGTGGTTGACCAATTTCCAAGGGGCAAAATACTCTACATTGTAAGGGGGCTTCTCTTCTGCTAAGATAAATGGGAAGCAAGCAGATGCTGAAGGAAATCCCATGTTTCCCAGGTTTGGCTAATCAACAGCACAATTATAGAAGTGACTGGGACACAGTAAAGGGAGATTTCTAATCCCAGTTAGAGTTGAGCATGGTGTGGCTAGTGCTGTGGAAAGATTCTTCACAATCTTCCAGGGTACTTTCATCTTCCAGACCTCCAGCATCCCAATGTTAATCAAACCCTGAGCCTCTCTCAAGTGCAAAAAACAAACTGAGTTAAATTACATTAGGCCTGAGGGGTTGGGGAGAAAAAATCCTATAGGTACGTGGGGTTGACACCACAAAAGTCATTTCCCTTATGATCTAATCCAGATTTGAATCTAGTTTGAACCTAGGAATAAGAAGCCAAGGCATTAAACCACTGACACATCAAGTTTCTCTTTTCACTGGCCCCATTCAATCACATTATTCTCTCGGGGATTGTAATCCACACTATGATTTCACAATGATGCTGTACTTGGGTAATTACTCCCCACCATACCTCAGCCTCCAAGAGAGAGGAGTATTGCTGGAGAGTCTACATACTTCTGGAAGCCAAATTCAGCTTGGATCTCTCCTCTGTGAAGCTGTCTGGGGGTGTCAGCAACTCCAACTGGAAATGGCATGACACCCACTTTTAGCAACAAGCCCTGGAGAAGAACCCTTTCCTCCATTTCCTAGAGCTTTCAGAACTGCAGGTGGGCATGAGAGAGTCCGGGGCTAGGAGAGATGTAAGATACAGAAGGAGCAATATCTGGGGAGCATAAAGGAAAACTTCCTCCTGTTTGATTACAATCTTGTTTTCTGTTTCCTATTTGTCTCTCTGCCTCTTATTCCCTCCTCTGAGAGGCTTTTGTTCTTACTTGAACACTCTCTAATCTCCCCCTTCTCATTTCTTCCTGATTCCCTCTCCACTCATGTAGTACCCTCTCTGCTTACCACAGCAGATGCCGTTCCTGCCATGGCCCAAAGTGAACCTGGATCGCTCTGGTTCATGGTTAGCTTGTGGAGATTCCCAGCCAGCTAGGCCTCTCTGGGAGGGACTGGGAGAGCAGTAACAGCAAAGCTCTCAGACACACAAGCAGACCAAATCTCCAACTGGCATAAATGGGCATAGCTCCACTGCAGTCAATGTGGGAATACTGCGCCCAGCAGTACGAAAGGGAAACCAGAAGAGCTCCAGTATTTACCTGTTAGATGAGAGTGAGGTGCTGCCAGCAAACAAAATTGCCCCTTTAGATCAGCAGCTGCTTTCCCCAGGCAAATTTAAAGAGCCAGCCCCAGCCCGAAAGGCATACTAGGAAAAAATGCCTGTCAGAGGGCAGCAAGAGTTGATAGGGATTAGGAAGTTAGTAAGCGAGGTGCTGCTAGTGGTGTTTTCACTACTGTATCACAGGAATCATGCTCTAGTCTATGTTCTGTTCCCCTCCCTCTGTGTCCTTTGTAATGATTTTCAGAGGCAACAAAGACTTCTGAACTGAAGTCAATGGAGCTATCCTGATTTCTAACCACTGAGGATTTGGCCCAAAGAGATATAAACCACTTGCCTCACGTCTTGCTTGCCTAACCACATCCAACACATACAAGGCCCCTCAGCACACAACATTTGGCTTGTCTACACTTGAAAGTTAATTTGCATTAAGGTAGGGTATGAATTTAACATGCAATAACTATTCCTGAATCACTTCATCTCTTAATCCAGAATTAGAGTGTCCACACATGAAGTGATTCAGGAATAGCCATTCCAGAATCACTCCATGTGCTGACAAGCCCAAAAGGGCAGATCACCACTAGGTATAAACAGGCCTTCAGTTTCAGTGACTGGAGGAAGAAAATAGATGTCTGTCTTGCCTGTTTACATTGTTAAAGAGCCAGTCTCTCTTGCTCCAGATCCAGAAGCTCCAAGAGGAACTGGACAAGCTGGGTACCTGCCTTTCCCCCTCCTGCACCAGCAGCAAGAACCTGGAGAGTGTGGGCAGCAACGCAGACTTCCTGGAGAGCTCCCGGGGCAGGCTGAGATTCTCCCTCTTCTACCACAGGGAGCGACTTGAGCTGCTCTTGACGGTCATTGCAGTGACAGGCCTGCCTAGCCGAGGGAGCGCTGACTCTGCTGTTCGGGTCCGGCTGCTGAAGCAGGTCCCATCTCACATCTCTGGCCTCCAGTGCATGGTCCATGAGTGGCAAACACAGGCGGTGAAGAACTGCAGGAAACCTGCCTTTGGGGACCAGTTTGTCTGCTCCCTTCAGGAGGCCGAGCTGGAGAAGAGCACTGTGAAGTTGGAGGTGGGGCTGGCTCATTCTGTGTTACCTTTGTCAGGTGCTGGTTAAAGAGGCTCAGCTAATGGCCCTGGGAAATGAGGCCTTTTCGATACCCACAGAAAAGGTGCATCATGGGAAAACTCCCCAATGCTGTCCCCTCCAGGTGTCTTGCTCTCTTCACCTCTGAAAGGGGAAGATGGGATTCATTCTCCAGGCCCGTCCACTCCATGGCCTCTCTGAGACTAACAGGGTCTCACTGTGTGGCCAGTTAGGGTGCCGGGCTTGTTGTGACATGAATGGGACTGTGGCACAAACTCCCTTCACACAGGCCGGATGGTAAAGGCTGGGGTCCCCTATATCAGCATTTGAAATGCTCAAACAGCAGTTCTTTGGCATTTTATTTCTGGGGCCTGAGGGGAGTGGCAGTATCTAAGTCTGCGAGATTTGATGGCTCTGATGCAGGACTGGCTGTGATCACTAGGTAGCATCACTAGCTTTGCCTCTCTCTCAATCCTTGGACACAAGGGTTCTCTGGGGAAATCTATTTGCACTCTTGGTCCATCAACAGCTTATGGAACAATGGTTCCTCCCTCTGGATAATTGGGGTAAACACATGGCCCTGTAGCGAATCAGTTGCCTGCCTGGGAGGTGCTGAGGAATAATAGCTAGGATGAAGTGGAGCGTAGTGGCATTGAGTGGGTGAGAGGAAGGGTAAGATGAAAGTATCACATTCCTTCAAGATAAATCAGACATGGTTTATGATCTTCCAGGACAACTTTCAGAGGGGTAGCCGTGTTAGTCTGGATCTGTAAAAAGCAACAGAGAGTCCTGTGGCACCTTTAAGACTAACAGATGTATTGGAGCATAAGCTTTAGTGGGTGAATACCCACTTCTCCAATACATCTGTTAGCCTTAAAGGTGCCACAGGACCCTCTGTTGCTTTTTACAGGACAACTTTGAATGTAGGACAAGCAGGCAGCTGCCTGGGGCACTGCATCTGAGGATAATGAGGGGACAGCTGTGGTCACTCACCCCCAGGCCAGCTCTTCTCCATCTGCATCATTTCTGCTCATCCACGTCTCACTCCAAAGGAGTGTCCCTTCTGTTCCTTCATAGTCATGTGCAGCAGCAGGTGCCTTTGAGTCAGCATCCTTCATTTTGGGTGCTGCAGCACCTCTTTTTAAGCATCACTGCAGGCAAGACAAAGGCTTCTGGAGCACAGTTGGGTACCCAGGCCACCCACCACACACATAAATGAGGAGAATTCCTTCTGGAGGGGAAAAAATGATACAGGTAGCAGTAAGGACTAGAGCAGGAAGTGAGTGACTGACTTTTGGAGAGGCATATTCAAACTGGGCACCAATATCGCTTGAGCTGTACTCTGACCTCCATACATAAACAGAACATATGGCTCTTGTCCAAAGAGGAGGGCTAAGCAGATCTAGCAAGTTTTATTTCCTACTGCTTTTCCTTAAAGTGCTCCCAGCCCTTACCCTGAGGGCATCAAAAGCCCCTCTGAGTTATCCACAGTTTTTATTAACAGGAAGGAAGACGTCCCCCAATCAGGGAGCAGAAACAATACCATGTGACTTGGTGCCCAACCATTCAAACATTACATCCTCACACAGCAAACAATTTGAAAGTGTTCTGCAGGCTGGAGTGTGTTAGTACAGAACATTCGCTGAGCAAATGGGAGCAAGGAAGTCAGTGGTAAAAAACAGAGGTAGGTGCACAGATTACAGTAGAACCTCAGAGTTACAAACACCTTGGGAATGGAGGTAGGTCATAACTCTGAACAAAATATGATGGTTGTTCTTTCAAAAGTTTACAACTGAACATTGACTTAATACAGCTTTGAAATTTTATTATGCAGAAGAAATGCTGCTTTCGCTTTATTTTTTTAGTTTACATTTAAACACAGTACTGTATTTGCTTCTTCTTTTATTAATTTTTTTTTTGGTCTCTGCTGATGCCTGATTGTGTACTTCCAGTTCCAAATGAGGTGTGTGGTTGACTGGTCAGTTTGTAACTCTGGTGTTCATAATTCTGAGGTTCTACTGCAGTGGTCCCCAACCTTTTTCGTCTGGCGGGCGCCAGACGACGAGCCATGGTGGTGGACAAGCATCCGCCGAAATGCCACCGACAAGCGGCAACGTCAATAGGCGTCGCCGCCGAAATGCCGCCGACAAGCAGCGTCATCCAGAGGCATCACCGCCGAAATACCACCAATTTTCGGCGGCATTTCGGCGGTGACGCCTCTGGATGACGCTGCTTGTTGGCGGCATTTCGGCGGATGCTCGTCCTCCGGCCAGTATGTGGGCGCACTTAGACGCCACGGCGCCCACGGGCACCGCGTTGGGGACCCCTGTTCTACTGTATTTCCAACCAAAGAGCTCGACTCCTGAATAAGTTGCTCACTATGTGTGATCTGCACAGCTCTTCCTCCCAGTAACCTGAGACGCCACAAAGAAAGGGCTCTAAACCTAAGCCTTTATGTATATTAATAGGGATTATTTTTTGTTTTTTCTCCTCTGCTACGAGAGCTTACAGAGACAGGGAGCTTATGCCAAGGAACTAAACAAAAGCACTATCTGTTCCAATACAGTTCAGCTCTCAAGACAGGAGTTGATGAGGAAGTCCCCTAGATGTAAGTGTTAGAAGCTGTATCAGGTGCTTTCTGTTTTCTGACTCAGCTGGTCAGTTTTTCATGGCATTGAGGAAGCAGCCCCAGAATGTGTTTCATATTTATGCATATTTTTATGTGATTATGGTTTTATTTTATTTTTCCTCTATTGGAACGTAGGCTGATTCTTTTGTTTCCATTCTCTTCCTGATGTTATGTTGTTAAATCAACATATTGCTACTCCTCCCGCCCCCAGAATATAGTGATATTATGGCAATGAGTTCCACAGACTATCATTGAGACCAAGAGCTTCGAAGGATACACATGCTTCTGGAAGCCTATATGGATCACAAGAAAATCCAGAGTTGCAGTAATACGGATTGAAAACCTACAACCACCACCAGGAGTTACAGAAAGGATGCAAACCCTCCTGCTTCAGGGTACAAGTCAACCTCTAATTACAGTTTGGAAGAAATTTTCCCTGGTAGAGGTTATCTCATAACTGCCTCCTGCAGCATTTCTTGCACCATGCCTGTAGCAGCCAGTACTGGCCACTCTCAAAGACAGGGTACTGAACTGGATGGTCTGCAGGTCTGATCCAATACAGCAATTCCCATGTGTCACTACACACCTGCTATGTCTTGGCAATGCTCCAGGTGGCTCAATACTCCAAAGCTTCTCTACTATTTAGCCCTCAATTTCCCCATCTAATTACATTTACTCTTATTCACTTACATATGGGACCTTCAATGACAAAGTACCTAGCAAGTGTATGAAAGGAAATGCAGCAAGCAACTAACCAAATAACCATGACCAGAATGGCTCGACCAGCCATTAACAGGCCCAGTGCTTGGGCAACAGTGAACTACAAAGGGGAGAAGAAGAGGCCATGCGGCGAGAGTGAAAGATGGAAGGAGACAAAACTGGCGCGCAGAGGAGAACAAAAAAATCTGCAGGGCAAGTTCCTCAGCTGTGTTAGAACATCTTTGCACAGCTCCTTTATGTCTCTATAATGTACTGGATATTGAGCTGTTGGATCTGAGCACCTCCAGAAAGGGAAAACAATGAATTTTCTCTCTCCCAGTAGGAAGCATTCTTAAAGTTTTTGTTTTTAACAACAGAAAGATATGAGAGTGCAAAGCTGTTCTGAACCCCATGTGAACAGCCTCCAGAGGATTCTCTTGACATGTGTGGGGGGATTGTAAAGAGAGACGTTGGGCTGCTCCAGCGGACACCTGGGGCCACCCTGGCACAGAGCAGCCCCAGGATGCATGGGTAGCATAAACCTGCCTTTGCACCGCCCATCTTGAGCTGTGCGGAGTGCTCCTGAGTGCTATTTACACTGCAAATGAATTAACTGTGAAGGAGAAGCTGATGGAAGGAAGTGACTGAGTGGTGGGGGAGTGAGGAGAGAAGAGAGCTTGAAGGAGCCTGTTCAGGTGATAGGGGAAGGGAAGGATCCAAGTTTTATTTGCTGGGGATGTGCCTCCCTTGCTCTCATTTCAGTCCAATACTGACCCCTTCAAACCTGGTGCCTGGTAGGTAGGATTTAGACAGCTGCCCTGAGAACGTGATGCATGGACATGGAGCGTAGGCCTTGTGTGTGAAAAACAAAGGCCAAGTTTGAGACCTGGCCTAGTGCAGACGTAATTCCAGTTGGCTTCAAGGGATGTGGTACTGCATAGCCCTGCTCCTGTGTCCCCTGTGGGGGAGATGCTGATTCTCTCTGTCCCATAGGTTAAACATTACAACAAGTATTCCAGACACACCATGCTGGGGGAAGTGAGGGTCACCCTCAGCAAACTAAAGGCCTCCCAACGTATGGAGTTCTGCGAGGAGCTACAGAAGACTACAAAGGTAATGGTTCTTGTGTCACCTCCCACAATGTAACTACATCATGATTGCACTGAATGGATGTCTCCAGGGAGACAAGCCTTTGACTTTTTTCAGGCAGTAACCGGCAGTCCCTGCCTTCCATCAGCATGGGACAGACCATGGAAAATGAGCGAGTGGCCTCATTACAGACCTACTTTGTGCTCCACATGCTTCCCAGGTAGGCTCTGCAGAGAGGCAGTGGTGTTTGGGAGCATGGAGTCTGGACTGTTCTCCCAGGGTATGTCTCCAAAGTGCAATTAAACACCCGTGGCTGGCCTGTGTCAGCTGACTCAGGGTCACGGGGCTGTTTAATTGCGGTGTAGACATTTGGGCTTGGGCTGGAGCCAAATTCTGGGACCCTCCCTCCTCTTGGGCTCTCAGAACCAGGGCTCCAGCCTAAGCCCAAGTGCCTACACTGCAAGCCCGAGGCACCTGACCTAGGCCAGCCGCAAGTGTTTAATTACAGTGTGGATGTACCTCCAGAGATGAACTACTCAAGTCAGGCTTGAGGCCCATTGGTGGGCAGCACGAAGAGGCTCATACTGCTGCTGCCAGTGGCATACCTGCTCCTGGATTAACGCAGGACTTAAGTCAATCAGGAAGCTTTTACCTGCACTAAAATAGCACGTACTTGTTTGTGTAGCAGGAAGGTGCAAAATGAGAACACATTTTATATTCTAGGTTCCATTTATAAAGGTTAATAAATGCTTAGCTAATGGTTATAAACAGGTTACAGTCTAGCTGGTTATAAGCAACCCCGAGTCCAACAACTCAAATAATTAACAATTTATTAAAATATCAACCCTTTATCAACTATTTATAAACAGAGCTTTAATATAGAGTGTTACTCAAAATGCCCCTTTCATTAAAGTCAGGCCCCTTTAACTGCCCTTGTTCTCAGGTGTATCAACTGCAAAGGCCATAGTTTGGCACTAGAGGAACATAATGCAGGATCAGCCTCCCTCTGCACAGGCAGCAATAACTACGGACACACTTTGTTGTAACAGGAACCACACTGTGTTGGCTTGCACTGCCCCCAAGAACAAGGACTGGATGAAAGTGCCTTTCTTAGATCGTTTATTGCCACAAGAACTGTTCATTTAACTGTTACATAAAGAGTTGATACTGTGAAGTTATAGCCAAAATTACATGAAATCAATATGAATTTGACAGGGTTCAAACCCATTGTAGAGCCAGACTCCCAGATTAATGCAAAACAGAGCGGTTTAGGAGATCTCAGGGTTATGAGAATGGGCCATCTCCTTGTCAATAAGCAAGGAAAACCAGTACACCTACCAGTTAGAAGAGAGAGAGAGAGGGGCCACCAACTGCGCTGAAAAGAAAGATGCTGACAACTGCCTAAAGGTCCTTTTAGGGCTGCAGCTGCTTGCCTCTGGCAAATGTAAAGAGCCATCCCCTGAAGGGCATGCTGGGAAAAAAAATCTTATACCAGGGCAAACCTGTACTGAGGAGAATGGGTAGGGACCAGGAAGTTCCCAAGGGAGATGCTGCTCTTTTCACCACCATAACTCAGAAGTCATCTCCATATTCTGTCCCCCTCCACATTACTGATTTTCAGAGAAGAAAAAGGCCTCATATACACGTTTTTGTGGAGCACTGTTGCATTAACACCTCGACAGCTTGTGATGGAGTGCTGAGGGCTGGCACTTGAGCCAGCACTCTGGTCACTATTTGTTCTAAATAGGTTCCCTTAGAGAAGGCCTAATGGGACAGAGGACTACCTGCAGGGCCGGCTCTAGGTTTTTTGCTGCCCCAAGCAAAAAAATTTTGGGCTACCCCCCACCCCAACCCTGGGCTTTCCCCCTCCCCCTCCTCAACTGCACCCTCCTGCCGCCCCAGCCCTGGGTCACTGGTAACTCGCTCCCAGGGCGGGTCATTCAGCAGGAATTTTGGATGTACACAGAACACAGACAGGATTGGTTCCCATATGGTTACAGAACTGCAGTAAAGTGGAACAATTTTCAGCTTGTGTGACTGGAGGATATCTGGATGCATATTATAAGACTGTCCTACATAAATGAGGAAAAGTTGAGGTGCCTTTATTATTCTTTTGTTCCATTCTTTGTTTCTATGAGGAATGCACTATCACGGTCTTCCTTTTAAACAAATAAAACTAAAACTTTAAAAAAAAAACAACTAGCAATGGCTGTTGAAAATAGCAATTCCAGTCCTAATAACCACTGGGAAGCATTTCTTGCTCAATTTATTCTACTTTTTCTACAGCAAGTTACAGTGGATCAGTATATTTGATTTGGGGGAAATGAAGTAACAGCTGCCCAAATTGAGCTTGAGCACTCCTGAATTTTGAGGGTGTTCAAATCTGGAAGGCAGGTGCTAGATTCCCTTTCTGAATATTAGCTATATCTGGAAAGGAAAAGTCAATTTCTGCTTCCATGGCTCAGAAGTGGAAATCCTCCTAAGTGCCTGGTACTGTATCTAAAGCTGCCCAGGTCCAGAGCCTCCCCTCCCTTACTTTTCATTTTAAATTCTAGTGAGATCCACATACCTCCCTTGCTAGGCTTCAGATAGAGAGGTGCACTGTCCATTTAGTCCCCCCAATTCCTTCTTTGGGGGAGAGCTCAGGGCTGGGGCGGCAGGAGGTGCGGGGGGGGGGGG